TCACCTGTCTTCTGATCACCTGTCTTCTGATCACCTGTCCTCTGATCACCTGTCCTCTAATCAGCTGTCTTCTGATCCATCAATAAACAATTCATCTGTTAATCAGTAAACATATCAGTTGTTGTTGTTGGATGTCTCAGTGTGTTGGAGCATCGCAGCAGAATAAGGATTGACTGTTTCCCTGCAGGAGGGGGTTGAGCGCCCCCTGCTCAGCCGCTGGGCTCAGTACCTGGCTGGCCGGTCACATGACGACCTGTGTCCATCTCCGGAGCTCAAAGGTCTTCTGCGCAGTGGTGTTCCTTACGAGTACCGACAGAGATTGTGGCACTGGATGGTCCGAGCCCGAACCAGAACAATCAGAGACTCCCAGCCCCAACAATACCAACAGGTAACCACCTGACCACACCTGACCACACATGACCACACCTGTAACCACCTGTAAATACTGTTTTGTGTTTCCAGCTGTGTGAGAAGAGTCACACGTCCTCTCATCCGGCCTCAAGACAGATCCAGCTGGACCTCCACCGCACCTTGACAACCAATCAGCATTTCTCCTCGCCCTCCAGCCCCACCCTCCAGCAGCTTCGTCGCATCTTATTGGCCTTCTCCTGGCAGAACCCTGCTATTGGCTACTGCCAGGGTCTCAATAGGTACACATACATGCATGTGTACTGTATCTGTACCTGTACATGTAAACCTGACCCTTCTGCAGGACATCCTCATTTACAGTTTGTCTGAATCGCTAAAACACATTTAAACTTCCTTTGCTTTTCTCAAAACAGGGAACACAAAACCAAATATTCAAGCTACTCTCACAAAACCTTTGACAAACAATTGATTCAAAACTATTTCATCTTTACCCAAAACATAACACACAAAGCAGCTAATGCAGAGACACACTCAGTAATCATAACAAACCTCTTCTGTGCGGTATATGGAGAGACGATGGTGGAGGACAAACATGAGGAAACTTCTGATGAACCATCTTCTTTGACCACAGTGAAAACGTCTCATCAAAAGGAAGTTCTGACCTCCGTAGACTTTCAGAAACATGACGTTTAGTGTTGTTGCTCCTGAAGTAACATGAGTGAGCTCAGTTTTTACTGGTTGTGAGTTAATAACAACAAACTGTTAGTTGTGTTCAACCTGTGTCAGTCAGTCTGCATCAGTGCATCACACTAATAAATGTGTTGAGAGTGTTTTGCAAATTGTGTGAATCAGATTTGCAAAGTAACAAGAAGAAGTGCTTAAAGGTTTTTCCACTGTGTGATTGATCTGATTAAGTTGTTTAGCTAGTTGACAGTTTTTAGAGAATTAGCTTTAATGTTTCAGAAAAACTAACTGATCAGAATCAGTGTTATGTGATCATCTGATGTCATGTTGCATGTTGCGTCATCAGGTTGGCGGCCATCGCTCTGCTCGTCCTCCAGAGTGAAGAAGACGCCTTCTGGTGTCTCGTTTCTGTAGTGGAAACCATCATGCCTCAAGACTACTACACCAAGAACCTGGTGTCCTCTCAGGTCAGAGGACACACTCATTTCTCCACCTCTCATCTGTCCGTCTCTCCTCAGCCTCTCTGACTGATGTATTTATTGATCAGCCTCTTTGATTATGTGTTCAGGCGGACCAGCGGGTGTTTAAGGACTTCCTGGCAGAGAAGCTTCCTCGCCTTGCGTCTCATTTTGACAACCACGGCGTCGATGTCTCTCTGATCACCTTCAACTGGTTCCTGGTTGTTTTTGTGGAGAGTCTGCCCAGTGACATCCTGTTGCCTCTGTGGGACACCTTCCTGTATGAGGGCACCAAGGTACGACATACGAACACATGCTTCCGTCACACAAACCAGGTGTGTGTGTTACCTGTCTGTGTGTATGTGTGTGTGTTACAGGTGATCTTCAGGTACGCTCTTGCTCTCTTCAAATACAAAGAGGACGACATCCTGAGGATCCACGACAGTGTGGAGATCTACCAGTACCTGCGCTTCTTCACCAAAACCATCTCTGACGGCAGGTAGGTCTCACCTGATCTCACCTGACCTCTTACATCAGAGGCCGTGGTTCAGTCCAGTGACGACTCAACCGTGTGTATGTGTGTGTGTGTGTGTGTGTGTGTGTGTGTGTGAGTGACATCATCACTTGTCAGATGACAAACAGGAAGTGACAGAATCTGTAACTAGTTTAACAAAAAAAAAGGATTTACTTTACTCTTTTTTTTAATCATCATCGATCCTGACAGATCACTTTCATTTCACACGAATCAATAATCAAACCATTGTTATTGATCCATGTGGTGATCGTGGTCATGTATTTGTTCAGGAGGCTAGCCAGCATCGCCTTCAGTGACATGAACCCGTTCCCCAGCCGCCTGCTGAGGAACCGGCGAGCCCTTCACCTGGAGCGCCTGCAGGGGGAGCTGCAAGAGCTGGAGAAGGAGCAGAGGGTGTTTGTAATGGAGAACATCGAGCACAAAGACAAAGAACTGGGGAGGGAGGAGGACGACGAACTGTGACCTTAGGACTCAGCACGTAACCTCAAGAAGAGAGTTTGACATCATAGACGTCAAGGTAACAAAGATGAGGTTAGAACGTGTCCTTCTAACAGAGACAGTGAACAAAGCTGTAAAAGATTACAGTCGTAAAGAGTCACAATCAATAAAAATCCACAACTGGACCAAATATCAATGATTGATTACAAACTGTTACAAACTATCAGGTGGTGAGAAGAAAGCAGCAGAGTTCATAAATGTCTGTACAAGTAACTAAGTAGATTTACTCAAGTACATGTTTGTTTTTACTTGTGGTTCACGTTATATATCAAAAATGTATCGTCATCATATCAACGTGCGCGATATACGGGTTAACCCTAACCCGGGTCATCACAAGAACTACTGCGATAAATGGTGTTTCATGTGCCACACTCCGCATGTCAATATATGTGGCCAATCAGATGAAGCCTTGCTGCTGTAGATAGTAAATTAAAGACATTCCGATCATTGACGTATTTTTCCGTCAGTGAATCATTGTCAGAAGAAGAGAATAAAGAGAGAAAAGAGAATTTCAAAACAGAGATTAGCTCTCGCTCCGCCTCCTCCAACTAAACTCTACTGTGGAAACTTCTAGTGAACACGTTTGTCCCGTATTAAAGTCATCACTATGAGCGGTTGATTATATAAAAGAAATGTCAAGCTTATTTATGAACCTGAGGGGAAAATATCAGCGCACACACACACAGACTCCGCTGTTTGTGTCTCTCTCTCTCTCAGCTCACATCTCTGACTCACTAGTTTAAAAGTTGATTTGTTTGTCGCCACAATATCAACACTGATCATCACATAATGATCGATACTTTTCTTAATGAGTTAAATCTTTATTCAGAGCAGCGCATTAGTCAGCTGCTCGCACTTTCCCTCTCTCTCTCTCTGTCACACACACAGTGATCGGTCACACGTATAAACTCAGTCTGGGTAAATACAGGAGACTTTGGAAACGTGCAAATGTAGGTGTCGCTGGAGGAGATGGTGTTGCAGTGCTCATTGTGAATGATGGAGACGGAGAGGAGCAGTAAGTTACTGACGGAGCAACTAAAAATACGGTGGCCGGGCTGTGCGCCTTCCCCCGGCTGCGGAGCTGTCCGTGGTCTGTGTCTGTAGCCAGGGAGTGTTTATGTTTATTTAAGTCATACTGTCATCACGATATTAAACAACGTTACGCATGTTTTCCTAATATTGTCCAGCCCGAGTTCCTGTGAATATTTTATACTTCTAGTGCGCTATGTTAGGAAACATCAAACATTTTTGATCAAGATTATTATTATTATAATCTAAATATATAATTGTCATTATTGTGAAATCTTTCTTTCATTTTGTAAAGTTGAAATATGCTATTAGTCACATTTTAACTTTAACAAACAGCTGCTGCAGCTCGGAACCTGATTTAAAGACACAAAAACACAAACAGGAAGTCTGAGATGAATTGTTTGTTACATTTTGTACCTGAAGCTTCAGGATGAGCTCAAACCTTCGGCCTGTTGTCGTCTGGCTGTTAATCATGATTCCCCACATTTCAAGTTTTAGTTGAAATATAAAGAGCACATCCTCTTTGACAGGAAGCAAAAAACAGAATGATGCTGGAAAAAATTTCACAAACATGGGAGGTATCACAAAATAAGATTATTATTATTTAAGATAATTTTATCAGATCAGGAGCCATCAGCATCCCTTTCTTTTCTCGCTGAAAACATGCTTAGCTTCATGCTAACAGGGTTAGCCTAATGCTAAATGCCTAGCTGACAGGAAGGGATAATATCAAGTTGCCTAAAGCCAAGAGCTAAGCTGCTAATTGTAGCTAGCTGACATCTTCGGAAAACTTTGAGCTTGTTGAAAAATAAAAAGTCCTTAAATTATGTTATCTGTTGAGTTCAGGTTAAATGTTGGTTTTTCACTACAACTGGTTCACATTTTTATATATTTTCTTTTTCTTCTGTTATTGTTCCATAAATGTTCTGTCATGTAAACTTTTCTTGATGTTTAAAAAATCTCATTTACGCTTTCACTGTTACACTTAAACAATAACAAGACAAAAATCTGTTTGTGACAGAAGTCAATAAAAAGTCTTGGAATAAATTTCATGTTGAACTGGACTCGGATGAAACTTAACATAAAAATAATCCACAGATGATTGAATCATCTGAATCATCTTCAGTTGCTGCACGAACCAACGTCTAGTTTTCATGTGAAAAGTTTCATTAAAATGAAAATGTTTTTTTTGATGTGGTTTCAGAAAAAGGAAGACAACAGAGATTTAAACTTTACATTTTATTTTTCTTATAAAACAAAGATACATAAGAATGATAAATATAAAAAATTGACCCAGAAGAAAAGAAAAAGGTGTGAATGTTTGCTCGTGTGAAAAGTGGCGTCCATCATTCAAAGTTTATTCACACTGTACCAAGATGACGAGCTGCGATGCAGCTGGAAGCAGGTTTATTAACATGTGGTAACCATAACAACCCAGAACTAAAGTTAAACCTATGAATGTGGAAAATAGTCTGAATATATAATGATCCTTTCTAGTCCTGATGACCAATCAAAGCACTTTACAGTTTTACATTCACACAGTGCATCTATGGGCAGTTTGGGGTTCAGTATCTTGCCAATTAATAAACACTTAATTAATGTTTTAAGCTAATGCTAATTTTATTATCTCATGCTAATGATATTATGATGATATTAGCCAATGCTTATAGCACCAGCAGTTTAGCAAAATGCTTTGCAGCCTCAGAATAACAAGTTAACATGCTAACAGGTTTGTTGTTTAAACGTTAATATAAAAATAAATTGAATCTCAACGATCAGAGTGAAATAATTGTTCACAACACTTTGTTTAATCTGAAAGAATCAAACTCATGATGGAACAAATTGTGTCGTAGAAGTGATGTTTATTTGTCTGTGATCGTACAGTGTTGTAATGTGACTCTTTTACCACATTCATTGGTTTGAGCGTCTCTCAGCTGTCAACAAGGCAGAGCTTCCCCTCTACGTGCTGATTGGTTGGATTTGGTAAATGAGGCAGATTATCGGTCAGCAGGAAATAAAGAGTTTAATTCAACAGTATAAACAATATTTTCTCAACATCCATGTTTTATAAAATCTGGACACATGACGACTTCTGAAATAACAGAAAAAAGATTTTTAAAACTAGTCTACGGTTTGATGTGTGTAAAATATTTTATACTGAATACCGTTAATATTCTATTTTATTAACTCGGATCTAAATCTCTAAGAGTCAATGATGCACTGAGAACTTCTGTGTATCATCTTCTTCTCCAGATGTGACTCAACTTAACTGTTATCATTATTATATCAACTGGTGCTGTTATCACTACTAATATCATTACATCTATAAACATCACTCGTATTATTTAGGTTGTTAACAGTCTGACTGAACTTAAATATGTAATTGTTGTGTTTCTCTTTAATGTCGTCAGGTCCTCGTAAAGATCCTTCACACATTAACATGTG